GGTTTCACTGATGCCTTTTACTCTTTTTCTCAAGCCCATCGAGTATCTTTATGAACATTACTTTAAATTCTCTATCAGGCATGTTCCTTATATCTGTTTCCCTTAAATCTCTGGCCATGGCTTTGTTCTGTTTTTTCATTTGGAACAAATTCCTCTGTCTACTGATTTTATCCCAGTCTCTTCCTACTTCTGTGTGTTCGAAAAATCAGCTAGTCTCCTGCTATTAAAGATAATGTCTTTATGAAGAAGAGGTTCTCTAATGCCCTGTAGTATGATGTTCTCTGTCTCTCAGGGCCTGTTGCTTTAGGAGTGTCTCGAATGTATGCTGTGTGCACCCTGCTGTTATGTCCTCGCCACTTTATCCTTCAGACCAGTCATCTGCAGAGGTTCTCTTTGTTTATTGCGGGAAGTATTTGGTCCCTGTCCAGAATGTGGTGAGTTTTAACTAGATGTGCTCTGGTCTGCTTGTGAAATGAGACCTATTGCCACTGTTGCCGGAACTGACGCTCTGCGAAACTCCAGGGTTGAAAGGCACAGTATGGAAAGGTGTTTCATCCAGTCTTCTGAGAGAGGGGCCTTCCACGTTGGGACAAAGACAAGTGTAACTGTGAGGGGTGGTTCCACCGAGCAGGGGAATTGGACTGGGGAGAGGGGCTTGGTGTATGGAAGTTAGGTAGCAAGTGTGGACACTACACTGGTTTCCACAGGTGGCTCTGTGCTTGTGCAGAGGAGCAGGAAAAGGAAATGGTGCTAGCTAGTCCCTTTGCTCCTGAAGGGGTCTCTCCATGAATGCTGCCTCTCTGGGACACACTCCAAGAAGAGCAAATGACCTCCACGCTGTGTGCCCCAGGCACTCTTCAGATTGCTGTTTCCATGCTATATGGCCCCAGGCTGTATGCCCTCCCCTCTCAATAAGAGCAGTGCAGTGCCCTCTGGGTTCTCCCTGAGGCAAGCCCACTGACCTTTAAAACTCTAGGCTCTCAGCCCTGCTGGTTGCAAGAACTTCTGAAATTCAGCCACTCTTGGCTTCCAAACCAGTTGTTATGGGGAATTGTCTTTCCTGTGCACACACCTGTGTGCTACTCTGTCTCTCCCACTTCTCTGTGACTGTGCTCCCTTCCCACCACAGTAGCTACAATTGATTTCTCTCATGTCTCTGCGCTTTCTACCTTCATTGATGAGGCCTCTTCTCTGCCTTTAGTTGTAGTTTGCTCTGTCGGTCTTCAGGTCATTTTCTGGGGTAGTTAGCATGATTTGGTAGTTATCTAGCTGTATTCAGGGATCAAGGTGAGCCTAGGGTCCTCCTACTTTGCTGCCATCTTCCTCCAAACTACAGGAAGGTTACTTTAGGATAAAACAGAATTTCTAAGTAGCCCTGAGAAATCGTAACAATGATTTATTTTATATAATCAAACGTATTGTATATAATAAAATATGTATTATGTTAGTCATTATAATTAGCTGACTGTCTTGTATTTTTCAAAAAAAAAGAATGGAGAAAACATATATTTAAGTAATATAAAGTCAAGACAGATATGGAAGACTATGAGGGTGGCAAGAACTAGAAGAGTAATGGTTGCACTATTATTTTAGTGTTCCTTTTGCTTCAGCACCTTTGCATCTTGCATCGCTTGGCAAAGAGCTCACTAAAATGAAAAAAACAACAACAACAACACAAGAAAGCTGGTAAAAATGCATAAGAGGAACTCTCTATAAAGTTTACATAAAAATTAGGAATCAGTAGATTTTAGCTTGCTGGAAATATGGAATATTGTGGTCAAAAAATGTGATTGCAGAATTTGAGATCTTGGAAGAGATGGAAAAGTATAAGGTATTATAAAATAGTTTATGGAAGTGATTCATTTGCTTCTCACACAACACTATGAGCTAGTAAAGTCAGAATAACAAGTGAACATACTAGCTGTGAACCTCTAAAGAAGACTCACATGAAAGACTTTAATTTTTTTATTGGGCATAATTGACATGTAGAGTTATATGAGTTTTAGGTGTATAACATAAAGACTTTAATTTTATGACTCTATTTGTCTTTTTATTACACTAAGCTAAATTTGGAAAATTTTTCTTTATGTTCTTATAATGATCTATGATATTTAACTTATTAATTAGATATATTTTACTATACTTTTTTTTTTTTTTGAGAGAGAGAGGCAGTGTGAGCAGGGGAGGGGTCGAAGAAAGGGAAAAAGAGAATTTTTTTTTAATGCTTCTTAATGTTTATTTATTTTTGAGAGACACAGAGAGAGACAGAGCATGAGCAGGGGAGGGGCAGA